GGATAACTATTGTATTGACTCGTGAACATAGAGTTTAACAGTTATAGTAAATAGAGTACAGTACATAGCAAAATGGACTACTACTACTAGGTGGACCGACGATCTGGTGAAGGTCGCGGGAAGTACCTGGATGCAAGCGGCGCAGGACCGGTCTTTGTGGAAATCCTTGGGGGAGGCCTTTGTCCAGCAGTGGACGTCTTTCGGCTGAAACGAACGAACGAACGAACGAACGAACATAGCAAAATAATTGTAAATTCATAAAATATTGAAGCCCTTGTCACACAGGCAGCGTGAATACAACGTTTTTTTTTAAATTGACAGTCGATTGACAGTTAAATAGATGTCACGTCACGCCACAGTCACGCCACCTGAGTGCTAAAATCTAGAAGCGAAGATAAGGCTTAGTAAAAAGCTTTGCGCTCTTACCTATGATTATGTTTCTTTGGTCATCGGGGGATTTTTGATGCTGACTTGAAATAATCGTCGCTTTTTTAGTAAAATAATTTTTTTGAGGCGCCTAATAATGGGAAAAATATGCGAACATCAAGCCTCCCCAATGAAAATGAAAATGAAAATGAANAATTTACCCCACTTGTTTTGCAATGTTAATGGTAAATTATCGTCCCAGCCTAGACCCAATTTCCATAAATCTTGCATGATGCATTTTGCTACAAAAGTGCAGGGAGAAATAAATCCCACGGGATCATAAATGCTAGCGAGCAACTTTAAAACTGAACGTTTTGTTGACATTGAGTCGGTAAAATTGTAATTAAAGGAAAAACAGTCGCACGAGGGTAACCATGTCAAACCTAGGACTTTCAAGGATGAAGATANCCTCTGTTAGAAAAACTGTTGTTTTGGGTTCTGGAGGTTCTGGAAGCCCAAACGTACTTGTCAGAACGCGTTTTTCAGCGTGCCTGTTGAATTTTTTTTGGTAAATAGTAGGTACTGGATTAACGATTAACGGACTTAAGATAATTTAACGGAAGTTAACGAGCCGTTAACATTTTTTAAAGTTAACTTAAAAGTTAATCCGTTAATAGAAATGTTAACTTCGTTAATTAACGATTAACGGATTAACGAGTTAATGCCCAGCTATGATCTTTATTTGTTAACTTTATAAAATATCTAACTACCTACATAGGTCTTAGTGTAATAAAAATTTCACACAAATACTTAACAAAAATAAATACATTCTATTTGAGGTGATTTAAAATATTACAGTACAGTCCTAATACAGATTTCCTGGTGGACCTTCAGGTAAAAAAAAGAAGAATTTTTTTTCCCTATGTGGCGTGTGTGCTGATGTGCAGATATAGCTTCTCTCTAACTATTCCATCTATTGAGACTCAACTTTCCTATAAGCGAACGACTCTTTTAAGTAATAAGTTGCGGTTATTTCCACTTGCCCCCACCGGCATCGCCTATGCAACTATAAATTTGTAAAAAACATATCAGTGACCACCGTGTCTCTTTTTGAGGTGGCAACAGAGAATATTGTATTTTTAATTTTTTAAATATCCCAATCTTCCATCCCCCAAGACGTCGTATCGGATACGACGACGAATTTCTGATGGGCATGGACTTGAGATTCTAAGATGGATAAAAAAATCGATTAGTGATTAGGGTCTTATCAGATCAGGATGAAACAAATGAGTTAAGAATTTATGTCCAAATAAAAAAATATGGGACAGGAGGCAAAAAGTCGGCGCCACGACGACTCGATTCACCAGGAAAATAAAGTTGGGTGAAATGAGAACACTAAAAAATCTATGCCTACTTTGTTAACCCAGGTGGTATCATTCCTTTCCCCGAAAAAAAAGGTGGTATCATTCCGGTGAACAAAGTAGAATAAACGTGAGGTCGAAATGAACTTGTAACATTGGACGGACAAAATAGGTAGAGCGCTCGCCTTGGAGAAGAATACTTAGTTTTACCAACCAATGGTTTAGCGACTATTTATGTGGTCCCATAACTACAGCGAAAGTTAAGGCGAAAACCATAAAGTATACCTAGCAGAATAGAGCAACAACCATTGGCAACAACGAAGAAAACGCAAAGAACAGCGAGCAAAATGTCATTAGCAGCTCCAGCGCCAGCAACCTGTGTGATAAAAAGCGATGCGTGATGCCGTCGCCGCACGTCAATAAATAATAAAACCTTTTTTTTTCAACTATTTTAACTCTCAGATATATTTTCAGATTTAACGTGAGTTAAATCGTGGATGTTTATGAGAGAAATAGTGCTTCAGAAACGTGGTGACTAGTTCAGTGATTGATTTATTGTACAAAATAGTGAAATAATCCTGACAACTGACAAAATAACATCCAGTGTCATCCAAAACTCGTGTTTGTTGCTGAATATAACTTTATGGCGAAAACATAACTCATATTTGAATGAAGAACACACAAAACATTACAATAACTACTACCCTCGCTAAATGTGTGCAAGCGTATAATTATATTATCTGTGGTATAAATAAACAAATCTTTGCTTGTGTTGTTAGGGATGTTATGGTTATGGATACGGTTACGGATATAATGCTATACAAAAAACAATTTAAAATCCCTACATCCGAAACTTGAATCGGTTACGGTTATTTTTTTATTTCGGATATCCGAAACTTTCGGCTACGGTTACGGATATCCATAATATCCCTGGTGGTGATAAGTATACATACAGGGTGTGGTTTTGTAAAACAACGCCCATCTCAGGGGTGGTAGTACACATGAAAGTAATTACAAAAAAATATAAAAAAAGTTTTAACTATTACTTTATTGGTAAAAAAACCTTGTTCAAACGTCTCCTAAAACTTTCGAGACGGCGCGTGTTACCGCTCGCACCACCCGGGCACCGCGTGCCCCGCTACACCACCGAGCACATGCGGCCGCGCCTAGGGAATGCAGAATCGGTTCTGGTTTGAGGAACCGGGTTTTTCGGGTCTGGTGGTCATGAGAACCGGGAGCCCCGGTTTTTTCGGTTCTTTCGGTTCCAAAAAAACAATATTTTGATTGTTTTTTTTTATTGAAATAACACTTCTTTGAACAGACTAGGAATAATCAACAAATATAATTAACAATATTTTTCTATTTTTACTAAATTCTACTCCCAAAAATAAAAAGAAGTAAAATAATTAGTTTTCAATTGAGGTACAACAATCAGTCTTTTTCATCCAACTTAACGATATATTTGACCATTTATAGGTATATTGACTGTCAGATGCAAAGCAAATAAAAGAGTCAGTGTTGCCAACTCTTACACAAAAATATCATCATCATCATCATTTAATTTAAACCATAGGATAGGACGTCCACTGCTGAACATTAACCTCCCCCTTTGGTGCTTTCCATGTTGATCGATTGGTAGCAGCCTGCGTCCAGCGCTTCCCTGCTTCCTTTATGATGTCGTCGGTCCACCTTGTGGGTGGACGTTCCACGTTGCGTTTTCCGGTACGCGGCCTCCATTCCAGGACCTTCCTGCCCCATCGGCCGTCAGTTCTGCGTCCGCGTCGGGCTATGTCCGCTGAGTCCGCTGACATAGAAATGAGGAGAAGGAAGGAGGAAATCTCCTCATTTCTGATTTGATCTCGTAAAGAAACACCGAGCATAGCCCTCTCCATAGCACGCTGTGCAACTTTGAGCTTCTGTATAAGGCCTATAGTGAGAGGCCACGTTTCCGAGCCATAAGTCATCACTGGTAACACACATTGGTTGTAGACTTTCGTCTTCAGGCACTGAGGTATTTTGGATGAAAAGATGTTGCGTAGTTTCCCGAACGCTGCCTAGCCGAGTTGGATTCGACGATTGACCCCCTTTTCGAAATTCGACCTACCTAGCTGGATCGTTTGTCCGAGGTAGACATACTTGTCAACAATCTCGAGGATTGAGCTCCCAACCGAAACTGGGTAGGGCGCAACATGGACATTGGACATAAGCTTTGTTTTGTCCATATTCATCCTCAGGCCTACCTGTTAGGAAACTCGATTAAGGTCTTTGAGCATTGTGCCAAGATCTTACAACGATTCTGCCATGACCACAATCAGTATCGTGGGCAAACCGAAGGTGAGTGATGTACTCGCCATTAATGTTTATGCCGAATCCTTTCCATTCAAGGAGTTTGAAAGCGTCTTCCAATGCAGTGGTGAACAGTTTAGGAGATATAACATCTCCCTGCCTTACGCCTCACTGCAGAGGAATCGTCCTCGTGCTCTGCTCCTGTACTCGGACCGACATGGTGGCGTTTTTATACAAGCACTTCAGCACCTCGATATACCGATAGTCAATACGGCACCGCTGAAGAGACTGTAAACACTGCCCAAGACCCGATCGAATCGAAGACCTTCTAATAGTCTACGAACGCCAAGCATAGTGGCAAGTTATAGTCCTCAATCTTCTGTATAACCTGTCGCAACGTAAGCGCAAACAAAAATGTGCCAGTGATTTAAAAAAATTGTAAGAAAAATGCTTAAAATATTTACATATCTCATAAAAAAAAACAAAGTACAAAACCAATAAGTAGGTACCTAACCGTTATTAGTAGCTAATCTGATATCTTTAGGTTCTCTATTTTCTTTTGACGACTCATGCCTAATACCTATAACATATTTTAGACAACTATGCAAAACCCGAAAGTACCGAAAGAACCGGGTTTTGAATTTTTAAAACCCGGTTCTTAAGCTGTCGAAAAAACCCGGGTTTTCCCGGTTCTTTCGGTTCCGGGAAAACCCGGGTACAAACCCTAGCCGCGCCGCCCCGGGAGAGCGGGGAGACTGACCGATAGCTCGCCCGCGTAATAAAACATTTTTTTTTTCTAATTTCATGAATTTTTCCATGAAAATTTAAAATATATTTGTTTTGGCATCAGTGACGTGTATACTACCACCCCTGAGATGGGCGTTGTTTTACAAAACCACACCTTGTATATCGCCTCAACCACACCTCAACTCTCGCTGCGCGACCTAAGTATATTAAGTGTATAGTACCTATTTTGTACTTTAAAGTGTTAATGTTCTAAGGAAACGTGGAAGACGTTATCATATCTCATTTATTCATAACTAACCATTCACTTGAAACTTTGTAGTGCACTAACAATTAAAGTTGCTTTCTAACACACATAAAAAAAACAAGTAAAGTAGGTAATTGATGCAAAAAAATAATAGGTATTCATCAGAAACACAAGTGGACACAAAAACATATAGAAGCCATTAATTTTTCTTTTTACAAATATGTAACAATTTCTTATTTTTCGTAATCGTGATAGTAATGGGAACTTTGAAAATTACTGTGTAATATTATGTAGTTCAGAAAAAAAATGATCGCAAATATTACCATAGTGATTGGAATTAATAGGTAGGTACATTTTAAAAGCCTTAATGGGTTTCTATTGGTGCGCCCGATGTGGACATGTTACCATCCTACAGCATAATATTAAGAAAATATGGTTTAAGTAATGCTAGTTATAAATAAACATAAACTGTGTAAGTAGTAGGTAGTAGACTCATGCCATGATAATGAAATTTTAAAACTATGATAAAAAAATAGCAACTCACCGATGAGCTGCTGTTTTCCCATGAGCGATAGGCATCATACAAGCAAACATTTAAATCACATTAATCAAATATAAGAATACTTTAGAATTCAGGTTACAAGCATTTTAAACTTATTATTCGATAGGTTTTATCATAATATTTTTTATTAAAGGTTTAATTATTTTTTTATCCAATCAAATGTAAATGCAATAAAACAATAATCGCCCATCAGCTAATAGAAGCCTCATCTAATGCCTTAAAATTAAATGACACTATAATTATGTGACAACCCGTTACTCAACTATCACCAAACATCAAATTAATCCCTTTCTTTCCACAAAAAATACATTATTTCTAAGATATTTTTAGTTTATTGCTGGTTTCGCCATTTTCCTTTGGCATGCAGTCAGAAGCAGTTTTCAAAGATATATTAGGATGTTCATGACTTTGTACGGAGGAAGAACGTTTACTCTTTCCAGGTAACAATAAAGCTCCTACTGCGATGAAGTGCAGAGAATAATAAAGTTTTCTGAAAAAATAACACAGATTATAAAGTAAAAACATAAACAAGAAACTTTAATGTTTCAAAGTAGAAAAATAACCTACCCGTAAAAAGCGAGACTGGGGCCTAGCTGCAACAATACGAAGGGTACAGTTGCATAAGTCATAGCTACACGAGTCGTTATTAAAGTGAGAAAATCGTAAAATATTTTTGTGGGTCTGCTGCCTAAAAATAGCGGACGAACAATAGCGCGCATCTGAAACAATTGATTTTAAAATATAAATAATGAAAATATCATCCTATTAAAATAAATTAATGTTACTTTACAGTATTACAATTTACAAAAGTTATCATTTTAAGCAAAAAAATAATAATTTTACAATTATTACAAAAACCTTTTGATACCTCATAAAAAGTAATGTCGATTACACAATATTGTACTAAGACACGTGTCACGCTGTGAAAATGAAAATGAAAATGAANCCTTATGTTTTCTTCTTTTTTGTGTTATAATAGGATTGTAGGCCAATGACTTATGTCTTTTTAATATAGCATGTAAGATGTAAAGTTTCCTAATTGTGAGTAAGTCCACTAAGTCATAAAGTAGCGTAGTTGAAAATTTTTTTTGCTTGAAAAACATAACTTTTAATAAAGCTCTCTGTGCTCTTTCGACATCTATAAATTTAGTTTTTGGCGCTCCACCCCATACTGTTATGCAGTAAATTATGATAGACTGGACTAAGGAAGTGTAAACCTGATTTAGAAGTCGCTTGGTTGCTACGTGTCTAAGTGATTTAAAAATCCATATCATTTTTCTTATTCTACACGCTACCAAATCAATATGTGACTGCCACGAGAGACGCTGGTCTATCATAACTCCCAAATATTTTGTGCTACTAACTCTACCTATAGCTGGACAGCCGCAAATAGTTTGAGTTTGCCTACATGAATGTATTTTAATTTCAAAAGCATCATCAGGTTGCGTCCTGCTATAGACAGAGAAACACATATAATTGGTTTTTAAAGTATTTAATGTTAGGAGGTTNTTCCCAAATATTTTGTGCTACTAACTCTACCTATAGCTGGAATTACGATTTTTAAAGTTAGTTTGCCCTGGCATCCACATTGTTCATCATCTTATTATCATAACACAGCTCACTAATTCCCCATAATATCATTGAATCAATACATAATGTAAACCCAATGGTTTTTGCCAAGACGCTAACGAGCCATACGTCTCAGGTTTGAGCCAAATTTAATTAATATGATTATGTTTGGCGCACCTGCTGTGATTAATGGCGCGCGGACCGCAGCGATCGGTGACTTCACGCAATTAGTCAACAATAGTGTGGCGACGACTTTGAGCAAGGTTCGAGTAAGGGTTTGTGACCCATATTGTAAAGTCAAAACTCAATTCACTCTAAAGCTTGGGTATACAGGGTGTCCTTGTAAGTATGGATCAATTAAACAGGATTGATTCTACGGCTCAAATGCAACTTTCCCTGAGAGACGGAAGAATAATTCAAATCTTCCAAAAAAAAAACCTTTTCATACTACTATTTGTCTTCAGTAATCAGTCATTTAATATGGGAACGTCAATTTTTTTTTGACAATTTGATTATTTGTTTCTTTGGGAAAGATGTAGCATTTACAGTAGTAGAATCAATCCTTTTTATAAATACCAACTTACAGGGACAACCTGTATAGAGCCCGTGAACGGTTGAGTTTGAATTTCATAGAGAACATACGTCTAAACTTCTAAAGCCTCTTAATTTTCCTAAATCAATCAATACCTGACTAAACTTCTTCCAATGTTTTCTATTTGATGAAGCTCGTGTGTATGAAATCTGTTCAAGCCACGCAATTCAATTGTATGAGCTTGATCGGAGTCATTAAATTAGAGTATGGCATCGCTTCTCAATCATAAGTAAATATAAGAATGCATTTGAGTAAGCCTGCAATAGTCTCTCTTCAAAATGTGACATAGATATTTCCTTCGTTCATCCATGGGTGAAATCTGGCAGTCAGTAAAATGAAAATAAATAACTAACTAAAAAAATTAAGCTATTAGCGGCTCTTTAGTTCATATTGTAACTTTCGCGCAGTTTCTTCACAACACTAAGGCTGAGTTGCTTTAACCGTAAATATGACGATAATCGGTGTTTTTTGTATGGGGTTTAACAGATTTTTGACGTTTGTCAAAGTTAAAGTAAGATGGTGCAACCCAGCCTAAATCGCGTTGCTTGTTACACAGTTCACGGTTGGCTATTGGGTCATGTAAAAATAGATCATTTTGTACTACGTACTTAATTTCCTTTTATGTTTCTTCTATACATGTAGCTAGTGTAGCTACATTATAAATAATACAATATCAATAATGGAATATGAATAAATAAAAGTCTATTCCATCAATGAAGGATCTTACAAAGAGCTTTTTGTCTCATTTCGTATAATATTGCCTATTAGTTCTTATGATTACAATACTGATACATTTTTAGATATAGGTACGTCGAAAACCTAACCATGTTTGTTCATATTGGGGGTAATGTAGCTTCAAAAGACAACATCAAACATGTTGAGAACCGTAGCTCCTCGGTAATGCAATATGCTTACCGAAGAGTAATGTTTGCGGAGACTATGAGCAATGTGCGAACTGATACGTTACAGAAATTATGTTTGCTGAATCGATTCGGTTAGTGTTATCGATAATGGCTTTGCGAATATTGTGCCAACATAAATAGGTGGAAATTATAGAGGACACAGACCAATTTATCGCTCTATTCTATTTTAGTAACAGCATTCTGTGGTAACAGTTTGATTATGCTTTTCGTCATTTAAGCAATAGACATTTAATTTTGATTAGATTTGGATTTAACATTACGATTTCAATGATAAAATGCAATGGAATCTAGCAGGAATCTGGGGGCACGGCAGTGCCCCCGCCAAGTCGAGCGCGAAGCAAACACTGCCGTACCATCCTTTACTGGAACCATTTCGCCGCATTTTCAGGCCCCTATTTGAGAACCTCTGGATAAGACCAGAACGCNAGGAGGTTACACTTGAGCCAATCGTTTATTCTAGACAGACCAAGCTCCGCAGCAGTTTTGATGTTATACCACGAGTCACCAGTAAAAATTACGGCAGTGTCGTCTGCATAAGACAAGATTTTGCAATTCTCGATCTGCATGTTACACAAGTCGTTAATATAGACTAAAAATAGGGTTGGGCCCAGGACACTTCCCTGGGGTACACCGTATTCCACTACTGTTTTGTCGCTTATGGTTTGATCTATTTTTACTCTTTGTTTTCGGTCCTGCAGGTAGCTTTTAAACAAATTAAGAGGGATTCCTCTGATACCGACCAGTTCAAGTTTCTTAAGGAGGATCGAGATGGAGACGGTGTCAAATGCTTTTTTTAGGTCTAGAAATACTGATAGACATTTTTTCTTATTATCCAGCTTATTTATTATTTCTGACGTCAATGCACTAATAGCATCTTCAGTACATTTTCCTGCACGAAATCCATATTGAAAAGATGATAGAATGTTATTTTTATCAAGATNGATTGTATCTCATAAAAGATTCGTTCACATACTACGGTTCATTTTTTGTTGAAAAATTGAAAATTTATATTCCAACTACTAATGATGCCACATTTTGTACTTTGTACGTTATTACTGGCAAGCTATATTTGGGACGTGTATAAACGCCCTGAAAAGAGCCAATAAAAGCTTTGACTTTGAATTTGAATAGAGAGATAGATCTCAGACTAAAAATAAGTAGGAAGTAAATGTATCATATTTATCAATAATCGCGTAATTTAATCAGGTTTAAGGAATCGGAGTAAGAATAAACAACATCTTATTTCAAAATCGAGGCCAGAAGTTTGATAATAAACCTTTTCCTTGAATCCCCTGAGGCTTTATGGGTCAATTTNATCAAGATAGTTAAGAAGTCTTTTGTTAATAATTTTTTCAACCAATTTTGATAGTGAAGTTAGCACCGAGATTGGCCTGTAGTTATTAACATCGTCTCCATCTCCACCCTTGTATACTGGTGTTATAATAGACTCTTTTAGGAGTGTTGGGAATATACCACTACCAAAGCAGAGGTTAATTAAATAGGTAATAACCGGAATCACCTCGCTTCTAGCAAGCTTGAGAAAGCTAGTCGGGATATTGTCCCAACCAGGAGCACTGTCCGATTTTAAGTTCATCAGTATAGTGTGAACTTCGTCCTCATCAGTATCAATAAGAGCAAAGGAATTTAGCTGAGATGGACTGTGCAGATTAAGAGAATAATAATTGCTAGAAGGAGGCTGATCTATGGCATCCGCTAAGTTTTTTCCAATGTTACCGAAAAAATTGTTTACGTGAGCAACCGAATCATTTGGAGATGACCTAATACTTAATAGCTTTGTATTATCTGATTTAGTCTGATTTAGATATGTGATTTTGCGTATGTTTTTCCATAAACTTTTAGGGTTACCGGTTGAGTCCTGCAAAAGCTGTCTCTCGTAATTTCGCTTCAGTTTTTTGACTAAGTTATTGCAGAAGTTCCGATATCGTCTATATGTGACTTTGAGAATTTCGTCATGTGGATGACTCTGCAGCCTATATTGCAATTTGTTCCTATGTCTAATGCATCGTAAAATTCCAGGTGTTATCCACGGTTTGATTACTCGGTCTTTTTTGCGAATGCATACCTCCTTTGTATTTTCTTTCAGAGAGTCAGTTATACGATTTATCAATTCCCGCGTTACTACCTCGGGATCACTACAATTCAAAAGCGCAGCCAAATTTTTCTCTCTCAAGCTGTGCACTGCACCATCATAATCAGTAAGCACCCTTGTTTTCCTACAGTTACTATTTCCTTTGTTTTTCATGGGATTGTGCAAAAGAACTAAAGCATGATCCGTTACTGTCGTGTTAAGAACAGCTATCTGAAATTCACTATTTCTATCTCCTTTAAGCATGATATGGTCCAATGAGCTAGATTCCCTGGTAGGGAAACAATGTCCCATTGAAATACTATGAGCTGCGAGCATATTTAAGTAATTAAATCTATTATTACGTTCATAAGATTGCTCATTGTCCCTTGGAATGGTATTTATATTAATGTCTCCTGCTATTGTGATGAGTCTATGTGTTTTTATTGATTCTAGATGGGCGTTTAAAGAATTGATAAAGTTACCCGCATTTGTATTTGAAGGTGATCTATATATCGCTAAAATCAAATTATGATTTAGCTTAATTTGTACACATGAAGCATCATGTAGGTAAATTTCATTGACACTCGCCGAGATTCTATTTTTAATGTAAACTGTTACACCGTCATTTTGGTTCAAATATCGGGTAGATGAGTACATTCTATAGTCAGCTAGAATTGGAATAGATTTATCCTTAGAGAGCCAGCACTCGGTAAGTATGATTATATCCGGACTAAATTTGAGGTTTGTGATAGTTATTAAGAAGTCATTGAAATTACAGTAAACGCTTCTTATGTTTTGCGTTATTAGTGTAAAATCACTATCTCTCACACAAAACAAATCAGACAATTCCTCAATATCACATTTGACAGATTTTGCAACTTCAGTCTGATCAATATCTATTATTGTGTTAACAACGTCACTCATTACTAAAAGATTGAGGCAATAATGGTGTAACTTGAAAAGCATTATGTGAAAGTAATAATGTATGTAGTAATTTCGGGAAAGCATGTTTGTATAGGTGAAAGTGTAGATGCGTGTAAAGTTTAAGTTGTGTTGGAAGTTGAAAGTGTATGTGTGGGTGAGTTTGAAATTGTTGGTGGTAGTGAGTGTACGTGTGAGTTTGTTTTTGTTCATGATTGTGTTTGGATATGAATAATGTGTGTGTTAGTATGTACGTGTTAGTGTCGTGCCGGGTGAGGAGTGGTGTGTTCACTGAGAAATATAAATGACAAAATATAAATAGATTTTCACAGTATATGATAAACAGTCCGCAAAAATTATACAAAATACCTAGTCTGTCACAGAAAAACATCGTATTGGATACATAGTTAACGGTGGCAAAATTATGCTCAGTATTAAATTTTTCAAAACAGTCCCCGACTAGTCAGTCCGTGTTCATAAGTTGCTGAATCTGAGCCTCCGATTTAATCAATATGATCGGCGAGCTATCTGCCTTTCGCACGTAGACTTTGCCATAGGCAGTCCAGCAGAATTTGTATTGCTTTGATTTTGCCAGATCTCTCGCTAGAAAGTGCAGGCGGGAGCCCTTTGCAGTTAGTTGCTCAGACACAAAAATCGGCGTATCCTCTTTGGAGCGGAGGCCCAAGTGCTTTGCACACAATTTAGCTTTAGTCTTTACATTAAAAGCTTTACATAGCCTTAGTATGTCATTCTTTACTAGTGTTGATGAGGTTTCCACTATGATTGCGGAAGTCTGCGAGTCCTTTTTACCATGAACTCTGTAAATATCTTTGATGTCGGTTTTACATAAGTTCCCTCCAATAGAGGAGGACAAACTAAGGGCCATCTGAACCAATTCGTCCTTTGTTTCGGCGGTTTTTTTAGGAACGTTCTTTATTTCGAAGTTTGACTTGCGACTTCCCATTTGGAGATTTTCAACCTTTTCCTCTAATAGCGTTATATATTCTCTATCTTCTTTTGACTTGTTTTCCAGCTGTAAGATTCTATTGCTCAATTCTTGGTTTTGGCTCATAAGTAACGCGATCGAACTTTCGATATTGGTGTTAGTCTGTTTAATCTCCATTATAGTTGGCGTAATATTTTTAAACTCCTGTTGCTGGGCAGCCCTTAGAGACTTAATCATGTCCTTGATTTCTTCTTTAAAGCTGTGTAAGTCACCCGTCGTTACGGCTTTGCTACGCCGTTCAAATACGTAGTTCGGCGGCGTCGTCTCGTCCGCACGTGACGCATCCTCGCAAACAGACATATCGGCTTCGCGGCTCATTGTACTAGGGAACTATAAGTTGCAAGATACCACAGCAATCGATATCGTAGAAACGTGAGTCGTAGCAGTGAGTAATCACAGTACCTTGTAGCGCAGGCGGCGAGTACCAGGGCGAAAGCAATGCCGAAGACTCGTTCCGTAGCAAATGTCGTAGCACTTCTCTCGTAGCAGCGCACGGTGGGCGGAGTTTGGTGCAGTTTAGGTGAAGTCGTCGTAGCGCTCGTAGATGCAATTCGCGCGACCTCCTTCACTTTTATTCACTCCTATTTTCCTATGCCGTAATTATTTCGATTTTGTAGTGATTTTTTATGCTTTTTATTTAAAAATTCGAGAGGAACTTATGGAGACGTGCGCTCGGTGAGCGATCCGAGAGGGAAGAGGAACCCCAACCCGTCTGGCCAGTGTGGGGAGTGTAAGCCAAATCCTCCATTTTCCTCTGGTAAATTATAGAGGGTCGTGGTCCTGCAGTGAAGACTAAATGACCTGATGACGATTTTTACTTTACAGATTCTAATTTTATTTCACAAAATAACTGCGTCAGTCAATAATCCCCGTTAACCAGTAAATATTCGACCTAATCCTAAATGCGTCTACAAAATTTATTCGTGTGTCAATTGAAATATTCTTACGTCCTATAATTTCGTTAATTATTATTATTTAATGGACATTTCACTCTCCAATTATTGATAAGAACAACTTATAGTTTTAAAAACAGCAAACAAAAAAAAATTCGATTGCAGTACAAACTGATTTTAATAAAATGTCGGTAAAAGTTTTCATAAAAATTAAAGAAAAAGAAATAGTTATTCTTATCAATAAAACAATACAGCACGCGTTAGACAATTCCATTTTAAAATTAAGTTTTTTTATTAAAAAATAATGTGTTTAATGCCTAGTCCGTGAGCACGTAGAATTTTGTCCAATGACCCCTATCTACCCATCCTTATCGCTCGCGCGTAATTATATTGCTGTCGCGACTATGCGACGCGCGCCCGCAGTGAGTGTGCGAGCGCGACAGCAACATAATTAGGCGCGAGCGATAAGGATGGGTAGCTTGGGGTCATTGGACAAAATTCTACGTGCTCACGGACCAGGCTTTAGCTCCAGAAAAAAAATCCTGAATAATGTTGATCATATTGAAGTAGGTAGCTAATGAAATTATCTATCTACGCGTTCTCTAATAAATTCAAGCAGCTTTTGACGAACAGATCTGCCTATTAATTGGTCATTCCCTTAACATTCCTTTATATAAATTTTATACAAACTTAAACAAGAATCATTTCAATTTCAATCGGTGCTATTTTTGTTAAATCGCTCTACAATTGCTCTTTACACGTTTATTCTTAACTTGTGATAGTTTGCAATTTTTCCGTTATATTTTGTAGCACAAATTGAGAATACTTATTAATAATCATAACAATAATGATTTATCTTCAAATAAGGTAAAAAAAAACCTTGTCTAAAGAAAAAGGAACGTTATTCTAGCTTATCAATGCCCACCGGAAAATGTAAATAAATGCAAGTATTAAAACTAAAGTTAGCAATCGTAAATTATTTCATGTGCCACCGCAATCTTTGAGAATCTTTTCTATCTTCAAATAGGCTAATAAAATTAAAAAAATATTTTTTCATGTAGGTAGGCCCTGTTAAGGGTTAAATACACGTATCTTAAAACATATCGGCTGGTGCGTAGTAGTACCTAAAGATACTCACGCCCGTATTCACAAACTATACTTGCTAAAGTTAAGCAGCAAATCGAACGCACAGTGTTGAATAGAGCTCTGTGATTGGTTCATGTGTCTGTGCGTCCACGCGCACTGTGAGACCTCATAGGAATGTTTGTGAATGCGTCAGTCACCCATAACAATTTGTCAATACCTACAATAGAGAGAGTTTCGATCCTAGACAGCATCTCACTTATCATCACCGTGCAATGAGGGCTATCGTACCTATTTATACTTAACAGTTGGCACCACTGGCGATTGACAGGACTTTACTCTACAGTGGCGCCATATTGATGAGTGCAAATGCGATAGTTCTCCTACCACTTTAGCGCTCACAAGTTGGCGCCACTGTCTTCGCTACTAGCAAGTGACAAGACCTTACTCAACAGTGGCGCCAACTGGTGAGCGCTAAAACGATAGCCCTCATTGCGGTCAAATCTCGATCGGTTGATTTTACTCTTCTGTGTACGTAATTGATGGGCTAAAAGTACTTACCTCATGTATGGTAAACATGAGGTCTTTTCAGGCCATGAGCGGAATTAGGCTTAACATAGGTACTTACGTTAAACCAAATAAATACCTATTTCTCTTTCTTCTTTTTTCATAAGCAAAGTTGATTTTTCTTTTCTAACGAAGATTTTGGTTTTACAGTCAGTAGACTTTCAAATAATGCAGTGGCACAAAGTAAAGCTTCAACCACACCAACGCGTGCAGCCCCCTAGACAAAACGCACTTTTTGATCGAAAATCGAATCCGTCAAAACTCCATACAAAAAAGGGGCTTTTCGACCACTTTTCGACTGGTTTGCGATTATAATTTGCACTTTGTCTAGACCCACAGATCGCCATCGCCGCGGCGCGATCAAAGACCAATGACAGGTCGTGCGGATGACAGTTCGCGCGACATCCCTATGATCGCGCCTGCGATGGCGATCTGCACGCATTGGTGTGGTTCAAGCATAATAAACTTAAACGTAAATAAACTTTAGTCACCCTTAGCTAAAACTAGCTCTGTTATCTCCTGAACATTATCAGCTGCGCCTGTGCAAGTACGTACGCGAGCGACACATAGACGACTGGCTTCCCGTCCGGCGGCGGTTTGAAACGCGGCGCGCTGTTGCAAGCGTCCGCATCGTTGCAGGACTGCAGGCAGCCGTGGACGTATCTGTGGGGTTACGGGGTTATAACAGGGTTTTGGGGTTACGGGGTTATTGCTGGGTTTTTGGGGGTTACGGGGTTATTGCAGGGTTTTGGCGGTTACAGGGTTTTTGCGGGGATTCGGGGGTTATTCAGGGTTTTTGTAGGGTTACGGGGTTATGAAGGGGTTTTGGGAGTAACGGGGTTATGCAGGGNGGCTAGCTACCACCATCTTACCTAAGTCTGTCGCCATAACAACAATGTTAACAGCATTATTGTGTTCCGACAGTTAGAGGTAAGATAGCCAGTTCCTCCGTGGTTGAGGATTCCGGGTGAAGCTCGCTCCCACCTTCGGCCTGATCGTCACTTACCATCAGGTGAGATACAGGCCAAGAGCTTCCTCGTTGTGGATAAAAAAAATTTTTTTTTTTTTGTGTTAATGATTTCTGCCATCAGTCACCAGACTATAATCAGATATGTTGAGTGCCATGTTATTGTTAAAGAGCAGCTGGCCTATGCCTAAGCTGTCTTTTTAAATTACGTGGTTTCTTTTTAGCCTTTTAACCACGTTGTCATTCTCCAGTAATCCATAGGCGAGTGGATTGGGGTGATGAGTAAGACGTTCGATGTGCCGTTTCTTGTAGCGCTCTATTTCTGTGGCCACGGTTTCAATGTTCAAGTACTCGTGTATTTCATCATTCCTCGTGAACCACGGGGAATTTGCAATATTCGATGTCAAAAATGTCTTTATTCGTTTAACCTAGGCGCAGACCACCGACTTTTTGTTGGCCGACAGTTGGGTCGGGCTGTTAATCACTAGCTACGGAGATGTATGAAAGTGCGCACATTACACCTTTCTCAGATAAACACGTCCGTATTTCACCCAAACATACTTGTAGTTTTTGTCCTATTTGGTATTTGGTGGACACCGATTTGGTATCGGCCGATCCTTCGTACAAATTAGAATCGGGCCCTACTATCGGCCAACTAAAAATCGGTGGTCTGCGCCTAGGCTTAATGCAGTCAGAAATCTTTGAATGCAGTTCTCTTTCTTTAAAAAAATAAAAGTATGATTTTTTTTGTAAAATTTTCTACCTACAGTATTAAAAGTACTTTCACTCCATGTGGCAATACAAAATTCCACCCTGTATACTACTAGCGGCCCGCTCCGGCTTCGTACGGGTAGATATTTACCAAAAATTAAAAAAAAACCTAATTTGACTTTGAGATACAAAAATACAAATTTTTAAAATAGATAAAAATTGTATGTGAGAGTACTTACAAATCGTCAAAATAAAACCCTTTACATAATGTTTTATGAACGTATCTCACAATCTTTTTGCACTAGCAGCGCTACGAGGCCAATATTTTGCAAGTGCTGAGAAGAAACGCAACAAACTCAATCTACTGCCTGTCTAGTGCAGCGACATACAACCGTTATAGTCCTGTGTCTATAATTTTTAATTAAATCTGTCTGTGTTACTTTGAAAAGCTTGCCCCTGAACGAATTTAGATGGAATCTTAACTTGTACATAATTTGATGTCTCGTGTGTTATTTGAATAGAGTGTATGATAATAATAATTTGCCTCCACAATATGTAGCTAATATGAATTATATTTTTACCTATTGAGGTTTCGTATATTCTTAAATAACGAGTGTACCTACAATCTTCTTGTATCAATGGGGATAAGTGACAAATGAAAATCATGGGAACATAAAATATTAAAATAAACAAACGCAAATGAGCAAAATTTTATTTGGGAATGAATTAAACCATAACATTTTTTACATACATTTTAATTTATCAGTTAAAAGGGCATAGATAATATAAAATGAACCTAGGTTCCACCCTCAAGCCCTGGCCTATACATATAATCTAATGAATATTCTTAATCCGGGAACTAAAAAGATTATGTTTTCAACATACACTTGTAGGCCTAGGATGTGCGCCACGATAAACTATTATGTCGATTGTACGCGATAAGTTCATACGTTTGTCGTCATTCATCGATAAGATTTTATCACGGTGCGCATCTTAGTCAGGCTGTAGGCCTAAGACGCGATAAAATCTTCTATCTATCGATAATTTTAGGCGAAAAATGTATGTGCATATCGCGTAAAAGTTAAAAGAAAAAGAAAATCGTGGCGCGTATTCTAAGGTCTGCTGACTGGTTAAAATCACTTACCGACCGTCGCCGTCGGTTTCACCGCCACCTTCGCATGAGTGACGTCAGCCGCTTTCTGGATGGTATCATCGACGAACTTGTGCACCCTGTACGGATTGATTTCGGCGACGTAGACCGCGCCGCCGTCCGGCGTGGCGACCACGTCGTGCGGGTTGTGGAGCCCGCCGTCCGGCGCGAAGGTGCCGGACAGTGCGCCGGACGTGAAGTCGATGACGTAGCCCCGGACGGGCACCGGGGAGGTGCCGTACGGACCGTTCACCACGTAGAGGCGGCCACCTGTGTACATTATAAATGAATAACTTGAAAAAATCGAACTGCCTAAGGCGGGAATCGAACACCTTGTGTACATTTTGTTGTTTGAATCTCGTTTTTGGTGATAGATCGGATTACCACACTTCTTCAAAAAGACTTTATTAGTCCTGATAACCCCTGTTAACTGTATGATTATATTCTTAGTAGCTTTGAAATGAAAGTTTAAAACATCCTAAATAAATCTAGTTCAACTCAAAATAATACTATGAGCCAGCTGGCGAAATTGTGTGCGAATGTGCCGTTGTCGCTGCGGAAGCAGTCGAAGTGATGAGACATCGCGCCGGCCGCTATAGGAGTGTAGTCACGCACCCTGCGCCGGCGAGTAGGCGACGCTGAAGAGCCGCGAGCCGATGAGCCAGGAAGCGAAGTTGTGTGCGAATGTGCCGTTGTCGCTGCGGAAGCAGTCGAAGTGATGTGACATCGCGCCGGCCGCTATAGGAGTGTAGTGTCACGCACCCTGCGCCGGCGAGTAGGCGACGCTGAAGAGCCGCGAGCCGATGAGCCAAGAAGCGAAGTTGTGTGCGAATGTGCCGTTGTCGCTGCGGAAGCAGGCCACGCGGCCGCGCTCGCGGTCGCCGGCGCACAGCAGCCCGCGGTCTTCGGCCAGAGTCAACGCGTGAGGCACGTTGAATACGAAGTTGTCTCTGCCGTGAGCTACGTGAGCAAGTAAAAGATATTTTTATTTTATTTTATTCCTCACACCCTTACCTCACCCTCACCTAAGATGGCCTTAATTAACACATTAATGGACAGTAACGTCCACGGGCGTTCAGGACCTTAACGGCTACCCGAGCTTCAGGTAGTAAAGGATAATACGACAGAACGCCGACGTCATAGTTTTACTTCGTTTTCATTGACACTACTCCCATAGGCAGTAGTAGTATTGGGAACTGGGAAGTAATTCTTAACTTGTACTGTCCACCAAAGTGTTAACTAAGAAGTTAGGGGAGACCTATGTTCAGCAGTGGACGTCCGGTGGCTGAAGCTATGATGAATGATGATGATGAACTAATATGGCGCATAATAAGCATTTCCACTCTGGTCTGTTCCACGCCACGGGGATAGGGAAGGTCATTAGCAACTTCGTCTCCCTCGCCCTTCCGTGTAATACAAATACGATCACTGTTTCGCTACTATAAGAAGATAAATCATATCTCAGGAAAATATCACTTAATGTATGTATTTTATCTGGGGCAGGTCAATAATTTGCATATTATTATGTGTCTAAGACATAGTCGGAACCAATTACTTAAACTGTTTTGATTACCTAATACAACCTAGATATTTGTCTCCAAGTTTTCACATTACATAAGAGTTAAGAACAGTTGTATCAAATTAATAGCTGTGCTCGCGACTTCGTTCGCGTGAAAACCCTTTTTTCGCAACATTTTTCATTGTTGCTCTGCTCCTATTCATCGTAGCGTGATGTTGTATAGCCTTCCTCGATAAATGGACTATCTAACACTGACATAATTTTTCAAATCGGACCAGTAGTTCCTGAAATTAGAGCGTTCAAGTAAACAAACAAACTAACAAAATCTTCAGCTTTATAATATTACTAGCTTTCCGCCCGCGGCTTCGCCCGCATGGAATTTTGACTGTCACAGATAAACAATATCGCGCGCGTATTTGCTCACCGTTTAGACCTACCCTGGACTACGACAAACATTTTAAAACCAAAATCAGCTCAATCGGCCCAGCCGTTCTCGAGTTTTAATCAGACTAACGAACATCAATTCATTTTTATTTATATAGATAGATAAGTATAGAAGTATAGATTTTACCTTTCCCCCACTGCAGTATGATTTCCCCTTTAGGGGAGTACTTCAGTATCCTGTGGTTACAGTAGCCGTCTGCCACGAAGAAGTCACCGTTAGACATCACAGCCACCGAGGTCGGCTTGCAGAAGTGCTGGTCATCATTTCCAGGGATGAATCTATGAAGAAATAGGGATGGTCGGCATTAAACCCTTATTTGGATATGTAGATGTTGATTACTGTAGATGGTTTCTATTCTATAAGCATGTATTTGATGGTGTCTGTCACTGCTCATGTATAATTCAATAACAGTATTGTAATTAAAAATGTACAAGCTTTATCGAGCAGCCTTAACCAGGCTGTGGTATACACAGCCCACATCAATTTGAACTTTATGCTGTGAAGATACTGTTGAAAACCAATGACGTTTTAATGGTTCTAGCTTATACAAATATTAACTCTGACATAACCATCATAATAATTATACTCAAACAATATCTTAGTTATTTTTCCTTATTCGATAAATATCATAGTGAGGTAAGCCTTACTTCTCGCCCAATACAAGTGCGGGTTTCTGCCTCTGATCAGGTGTGAATTTGAACACTTGGTGCATAGCTACGTCCGTCAGCCACACATTTCCTTCTCTGTCCACTGTTATACCATGAGGTATGTAAAACCTGGAAATTATGTAAAGAAATTAGAAAACATGAAATAATAGCTTTGAAAATACAGTTAGAAAAAAAAAGGTAATATTTTTTGGTTGCACATAGCTTTGTTACAGGCACAGGCAATTCAATGCAGAGCTGATCAGAAGAGTAGCATGAAGCAAAGGTTTGAAGTCAGAAGATTGAGGTGCATCTTTGGTATTGAAACCTGAAATGAGCTAAACTCTTCACTGTTATCTTAAAGATAAGTTGTTAACACATTGAATGCCAACTATGCAATATTGCATAGGCACTAGTGATGCTAGGGGCCAACTACGTAATTTGGCATTCAATGTGTTAAACACTAAAGATAACATAAAAAAGCAATAAAAAAAATGTAACTCTTAACTGAATTAATGAATAAATAAATAATACTTACAGGTTCTCTCCCCATGAGTCAATCAACTCCCCGGTATCGTTGAACTTTAGAATTGTAGGTCTCGAAATAGGAGGCTCGCCTATACCCTGATAAACATTTCGAGGTGTAAATGTCCGTTCGTCCCAAACATTGTTGTCTCGATGGAACACCAGCAGGTGTCCATCCGTGTCTAGAGCCAGCCCAGACACCTGACCCATTTGGACTGATGGATCCGGCCAGTCTTTTACCCATTTTGGTGCTAAAAATGAAATGTTATTTAAGTTATTATTATATCATGAAATTTTCATGTGCTTCTGGAAAATGTGTAAATTATTTTTTCATAACTAACAGATAGTCAATAAATATTTTCAATTAATTTTTATGCCAGAAAACCAAACAAACATGTGAATATGCATGAAATAATTGGAATTTGTTTAAGATTACATTACTATCTACATTATTTTATATTTTTCCAAGCAATGATTGCATAAACTTTTTCAAAGTTTGCTTTTATATTTAACATTCTGTTGGTAGTTCGTTCTCTCGGCGTAAATACAAAAACTAATATTTACTCACTGTGTTCAAGCCTCTGCAATGCTGCATTTACTTTAGAATCCAATGACTGTGCGTCAAAAAAGTTGTTTCCGTAATAACCATCTTCTGGATACTGTACCTGAGTAATTAATAAAATTATTCAACGCTTTCCCAACGTTTTTAGAAAATATTTACTGATAAAAAAACACTTACTCTACGCGCACAAGTGTATTCTATTGAGGACCACGACACTACAAGCAATTTAATTATTTGTACAAAAACGCTTGTGCTTTTCATTCTTCAAGTGAAAAAAAGCTTGCGAATTGGTTATTGATCGACGATTCGCGTGGCTAACTGATGTATTAATGATTTTATTTAGATCAACAAGTATTCCCCCGCTTATCAATTTTTATCACGATGACGTTTGCTTGATGACGTATCACGCTCGGTGAACGAGTGATGGCGAAAAGTTTAATGACAGTGTAGGGTTGGGACATTAATAACGGTAACGTTATAGCAAATTGAACAACTGACACGAACCCCAACCCAACACGGGAATGAGATTTCCACTTTTTTCAGGAGTATGTAATGTAGCCAATCGTTTTGAGGCATTGTACAAACGATAGCACATCATGCGAAACATTGCGGCATCTTATTTAGTTGTGATAGAATAATGGATAGGTATTGTTTTGCAACATGATTGCAGTCTGATGATGTGCTCTTCCTGTAATAATCATGTCTATGTTTAACCACGATGTCCCAAGATTGGATGTATCATTATGGAAGAAAAAGGAAAAAACTTAGGGTTCTGTTCAAATGAAATTACGTTGTAGATGCTTTACACTAAGAAGTTTTATTTAATTCACATGCACATTGAAGTGCTATTACACATGACCGGCAAGTGAGAAAAACATAAATCGCCCACAATGTGGGATTATACATAGATAACTCGCCAGTACGTCGCCGCGGTCGCAGACTCGAAAGTCCCACCGCATAATAAAGTGCTTTCATCTTATTCTTAATTTTATACATGGCCCAGGAATACCTGAGCTTGATGATGAATCTTCCTCACTTTTTTCAAAGTTTTAGAAGAAATCTGCCCTCTCATAGTACATGAACTGATGTAGCTATGTAATTTTCTGCACAACTCTCCTCGCTGCTTTTTGAGGATTGCATCCACTGGCCGCGTTTTTATTAACTTTTTGTGACAGAGGGCCAGCTCCCCGATCACGGAATTTGGATTTTTGGAATGAGCGTTGTTAATAGTAACAAAATTGCCACCTTCATTTGCATTTGTCTCGGAATTAGGACCAGTTTGAGGAGGCCCCATCAAGCCTCTCCTACTTTTCTTCCTTTTCTTTCCACCAACTTGTGGCTTCTGCATCTTATTTTTTTTCGGTTTCAATTGTTTTTTGGTTACATAATACTTTTTCAGGAGCTCGGCGTAGTCGTTTCTGGGGATAGCAGTGAAAATAGTATGATAATGTTGCCCTATCACTTTGCGTAAGTCTATCGAAACATTCTTCTGCCTGAAGTTTGTTACTTTCTCATGAAGCGATTGAAGCTCGCTCAAATGTTTCGGTCCGTCGGCGAGGCCTGCCTGGCCCAAAAGGACCATGTTCAGTTTCTTGAGCATTTCATTGATGTGGGTTCGGTTGTTGCTCAACTGTGTAGCGCTGACAGATTTCTGCTTGAGAAGTAACTCATGTCGGTTTTGTAAGTAGTTCAACTCGTTCCAAATGGCTTTGGGATCTCCCAGATCGTCGTTGAGAGATTCGAACGCTTTGGTCAGTTTACGAAGCAGGTTATTTCGGTTCTTGGGTATGTTATTCTGAGGATTTTCATCAATGTCGTGCGCGATTTCCTCCTCGATATCAGAATTAACATTTTCTTTGTTGGAGCCGTGATTCAACCACCCCCTGAGTTCCGTGTGGAAAGCCTCCTGATCGGCGATTTTCCCCCTGATGTTCAGGAACGAAGCGATTTCAGCGTTCTGCATGGTGATGTTGCACTTCCTCAAGTTCTCCTCGAGCCAGGCCGCGCCGTCGGGCGCCTTGAGCCGCGCGACGATTTCGTCGGAGACGGCGATGCGGGCGGACGTGACGACGTCGCTGGTGTCGGTGACCTCGTTGTCCTGGATGATGTGCCCGCGCTTGTCGCGGTTCGTCACCGACGCGATCGGAATGAAATCGGGCGCGGGCTCGGCTTTCTCCTTCGGGGGTTCGACGGTCTTCGGCGTTTTGGGGTCGTCCTGATTCTTGCTCTGGGAGTTTTTCCTGGGGCGCTCGTCGGTTTTTTCGGGTGTTTCTTCGATATCGGTGACCATCATGTTCTTCTTTTTGTTGAGGTGCGTCTCGTGGACGGTGGGGGACTTGGAGTGGCGTTTGTTTTTGTTTTCGGTCCGCGGGGGAGGGTGGGGCTGGGGCGGATAGACGGGGCGGTAGAGCGCCACGTAGGGCGAGTTGATGGGCAGCCCGGAGAAGGGCAGCGTGAGGCGGCAGGAGTGCACGAGGTGTCCGCGCCGCGTGCAGCCGCTGCAGTACAGCTGGTGGTTCTTCTTCAGCTGGCGGTTCTCCACCAGCGGCATGTTGGTGTCGAGCTGGGGATAGAGCAAGGTTGACATGAATATGCAAGAATGAGACACATATACATAATTTCAAGACATGTATAATTTCATTGTTGATGCTGTATTCTAGCACGATTAAAGTAATTGATCTTTATGTGATTAAGTTCAGCCAACTGGATATCAAATCCAGCTAATGAGACGAGGCAATTCAAGGAGTTACTAAACTATGACGACGCTTTTATGAAAGACACATGCTTTCCACTCTTCAAACAAAATATGCATATTTTTCGAATGCATTTTAAATACTGAAATTATTACCACTCTTTCTGAAATAGTTGATTTAGGAGCTTTTACATTTGTCTAGTTCTACTTATATTGGGGAGATCCGTAGGAGAACCAGAGTGACTAACATAGCCCGCAGAATCGCTACAATCAAGTGGCAGTGGGCGGGGCACGTAGCTCGTAGAGCTGATGGCCGCTGGGGCAGGAAAGTTCTTGAGTGGCGACCTCGAGCCGGAAAACGTAGCGTGGGCAGGCCTCCCACTAAGTGGACCGACGATCTGGTAAAGGTCGCGGGAGGTGCCTGGATGCGAGGGGCGCAGGACCGGTCTTTGAGGAAATCTTTGGGGGAGGCTTTTGTCCAGCAGTGGACGTCTTTCGGCTGAAACGAACGAACGAACGAACTTATACTATTTTCCTTGAGCACAACTCCACAAGCGTTCTACTCACCGTGTTGTGGTACCGGCGCCACACGTCCGGACAGTGGCTGGCGGGGTGGCCGGCCTGGCCGCACTCGGCGCACGTCACGCGGCCCCACGACGCGCAGTTGCGGCACATCGTCGAGTACATGTGGTTGGGCGAGCCGCACTGCCAACATATCGCATACAACCATTATAACGGGACTTCCCACCGCTGCAACTCCTGTGTAACCAGTATCTACAGCTCGATCAAAACCCAACCAGCGAAGGTCAAGTTTGTCCCGGAGAAAGTTACTGTCATTGACATTGACAACACCCGCAACGACATTAATCAGAAGAACATAAAACCAATAAAGTGGATCAACGCAGCTAAGGCCTTGTTCAGACACGCGCGGTAACCGCGCGGCTGGGCTGTCTCAGGCTGGAAGCTGGCAGGCTATTTCCTCCAAAGCGGAGCGGAGAAGAGCGGAGACGAGAGAAGTGTGAGCTGTGCATAATTCGCCGCGCCACCGCTGTCAAATTTTATAGAAAAACTAGCTGACCCGGCGAACTTCGTACCGCCTTAGCGTAGAGATTTTCTTAATATTTTTTTCCGTAAGAACCATCCTTGGACTTCCACAAACATTTAAAAAAAAGAATTATCGAAATCGGTTCAGCCGTTCACACGTGATGCCGTGACAACGCGAAACGGGTTTCATTTTTATATATATAGACAAATGCGCCCGACACTTCTCCGCTTGATCCATTTCCACCGAAGCGAAGCAGAGTGGATATTATGTGCTATTTGCATGAATCTGATTGGTTATCAAAAAAACTTCTCTGCTCTGCTCCGCCTTGGTGGTCATATTGCTGAGGATTCCATGTGAATTCAATCCAATTCAATTTCAATTACGAATATTCGAAAAGTTTTGAACAGCAGTTGGGTCACCCTAGAAATCTCTCCCAGGGCGCTGGTAGTACTAAAATCGACACTGGAAGTATGACAATAGAATCGAACTCACATTGACACAGATCTTGCTCGGGCATCGCGGCTCGTAGTGGCCGGTGTTGCCGCACATAAAGCACACCGGCGGCTTCATGCGGCAGTTGTCGTCGCGGTGGCCTGGCCGGTTGCAGTAGTTGCATCTGCAATCAATTACCGACCCAATCCATTTAGTGATAAGTACCTAATTTCTTTGTACTTTGAACTTCCAGGGTGCTACGGTATAAAAATATTTTTTTCTGGAGAATGCAATGAATCATTGAAAAAAGCGTAGTAATGGTATACTGGAATAGGGATATGATATGAAGTAAACATAATTTTAGTACTACTACATCATTGTACTCTGTCATTTAATTGTAATTCATCGACAAAAAGAATAGGTCATTATAACTCAAAACTATATTTAACTTGTTTTTCTCACAAATCCCAGTAATAATAGATTTATCAGTAACTAGCTGACCCGGCGAACTTCGTACCGCCTTAGCGTAGAGATTTTCTTAATATTTTTTTCCGTAAGAACCATCCTTGGACTTCCACAAACATTTAAAAAAAAGAATTATCGAAATCGGTTCAGCCGTTCACACGTGATGCCGTGACAACGCGAAACGGGTTTCATTTTTATATATATAGATAGATTAACTAACATAAATTATTACGTTAAATTACTTACGTTGTTTTTCTCTTTGACAAAGCTGGCATTCTGTCTTTGGGGTCTATTACCCACAAACTCTTGTCTCCTGAAATAATTAGACAAATATTTTTATTAACAAAGTAATTACTGATTATAATTAAATGAATATAACGTAATCACAAGATTACTTTCCATTTACTAATTGCAATTTTAATGGCGAAATTACTAATGACCAGACGTAAATGAATTCCAACTTACGTGACATGTATTTTTGTATCTCCCGATGATTGAAATCCTCTCCACCCCAGCTTTCATTGTAGAATTTTTCCATTTCAGCCCGTAGAGTTGTAAGAGAGTACCTTCTACGTTTNAAAATAAAAACAAAAATCACAAAAATCATTTTTCCTAATTAACTGAATGCGTTTACGAAGCACTTAATACGCTTATTACGTGTAGTTTTAAGATCTCTATGAAGTATTGTAACAATTCTGAATTAAATGTTATTAGTTAACGAGTGAGAATATTTTTGCATAATTTTGAAGTAAAAAAATAGGTAACTTTGAAT